AAAGTTAAAGTTAAGTTAGTCTAAAGTAAGTAGTAATAATAGTAAATAAGTATAGTTAGTACCGTAACGAAGATACTTGTTTTGTTCTCTACTTATTATATTATATATATATATATATATATATATACACACACACACACACACACACACACACACACACACACACAACTGGAAAAACAATTATTCATTTTACCAATACTGAAACCCCATTAGACAACCATTTACTATGAATTTATAGTTTTATAAAGTTTGGTAAACATGCAAACATTGTAGTTCATCTTACTGTATTGCAGTCAAATGGCAGACTTAAAATTCATTTCCATAGTTAGTCAAAATCAATATATCCAAGGTATCATATGTGTTTGAGGTTATTTCTACAAAGGTAAATATGTTTAGCAAACTTGAAAAGGAAGCAATGACTCTTAGTTTTTCAGTTCTTCTGTTATTCACATACCAGTAATGATATGTTGTTCACACTAAGTCCTTGGTCTAATTGTATGGATTTGAAGACTCATAAAGTCACAATAAAAAATCTGAAAAACCTGAGTTTGCTAAAGATAAGAGGAGTGAGAAGAGAGTGGTATTAAAAGAAATGTGAAATTTGGTGCTTTCCAAAAGTAATTGCACAATGGTTTTTTATCAAGTATTCAAATAATCTCAGACAGTGCCTTGCACTACTTGTAAAGAAGCTGGGAAAATCTTGAAGACATACCCAAGAATTGAATGATGAACAAAAAAAAGACATACTATCCATTGCAAAGCGAATGTATAGTTATAGCACTTAGGGATTATAAACATTGTAGATGGAAAACAAGGACCACAAAAGATGTACATTTGTTGTGAAGATTACATAATAATTCCAATGATAGTAACAAAATAGTGAGTATACTTAAGTAGGAAGCAAAACAGTCATTGGGAAGTTATCGTCAGTTATTAGGTGGGAACAATTTATATCTGCACAGACATAACTTACCAAGTGAGTGAAATCCAACACTAAATAAGGCAATTGTTTGGTTTACAGAAGAAGGGAAAGGACCTACTAGGAAATGAGAAAGAATAGGAAATTTGAAAAAGTAATCATCATTACACTTGATGCTTAACCAGGAATGAAACCTTGATTCGTCTTACAGAAATTCAAAGACAGTTTCAATAATACAGTTGCAGATGAATTTCCATAAATAATAAGATAGCTAATTTGAAAACAGCCAGGAAAAATGACAATCGATTTGTTAGTATGCTAAAATATAGGAACTTATCATTTGTGCTAAGCATTTTTCTAGTTACAAATTAATTTTGAAGCTAATTTGTTTTTTTTCTTTGTTAAAACATTTTGTAAAGGTCATCTTGTATGCTTTGTTTTTAGCTGCAGCATAGTGTCTCATAGAATGGCTCTCAGTTTTTAGAGTACAAACTTTTATCTTCGTCATCCCTTGACTTATTTGAGATCTAATTACAGTTTTGGACTCAGGAAATCAAACCATTTCAATTGATGTATTTGATTATGTCCAAGGTCTCATAGATTAATTTATACAAATTGAGTGTATGCTTGCCCCCCCCCCCCCAATTGGTATTGTTGGCTCACAAAAATATAGCTAATCAAAAGAGAGAAAAAAGACTCAGATTAATTTACTCTCATCCTGCCTAAAGAATTTCAAGTGCCACAGCTATTGAGGATTCCCTTTTGTTTACTACTACCACTACATTCAAATACAGTATACCTTGTTATTGTTACTGTTAAAAAATCTGAGTTTTGGCCAACTGGAAATAGCAATCAACCATCATCAGAATAGATCTACTTTGACAATTGAATTTATAAGTTGTATAAAAAATTAGTATGTTGAATTTCTTTAGTTCAAGTGTGTATAAAGAATTTTTTTATGTTGTCATAAAAACATGTTTCTTATGAGCTATAAATTTTTTAGAAATATATGCTTTTCCTTTAACAATTACCCTAGTCATTAATACTTTAATATCATCTCTTTCCAAAATGGAAATAAAGCTTTAATAAAAAAAACATGAAGTTCTGAAATTCTAAAGATTTTGTTCTTCTCAAACATGTATCACATTACTCACTTAGCTTGATTGGCTTTCTTTGTAATTTATGGCCAGGCCTTCATAAAAGAAAAGATACAAAATGAAACAAGTTTTAGATTGAATATGCAATTTTTAAAAATTTGTTTGATCAAAACTTTTCTTAAAACTTCATAATGTATGTTATTTACAAGTTTCAGGACGAAAAGCTGTTCCTAAAAAATCTAGCATCACCAATAAGAGTCACACTTTACCTCGCAATCTGATGCCAGGAACCTCACGAATTCATGGCCCTGCTGGTTCAATGAAAAAACATCCAACAACGCCTCCAGCCGTCCGGCGTCAGACTTCTCAACCATCCAATGCTGTCAGCAAGGTATGTTATACATGACTATTGTTTAGCTGAAAAGGCAGTTATGTGTATTTATTTTTATTAATTGATTATGAGAAATGGTTGTTGAAACTTATTAGGTTTTTCCATTTCATTACTTATTGTTCAAAGCAGAAATCTAATCCTAATGCTTAAAATATAAATATATCTTGCAGTTACACTTCCAGTATATGTTGGAATATAACTTACTCTTCCCTCTATTTGCTTTGAATATAAACTTCAGACTGCAAAGTAGTTATTGAATAATATATTTTCTATTAACAAGTAGATATTGCTACAAATACTAAAATATTTTTAAATAGAACATTTTCACACTTAAAAGCCATTTTGAAACTGAAGCTGAAAATGAAAAATGTTGTATTTTAGTAAGATTTTTATTATCATTATTATTAACAAAAAGAAAACATGTTAGTTATTTTTGTTAAGGTCAACATTTATGCTGAAGTTATATTTGCTAATATAACTAAATCCTGGGCCCGGCATGGCCAGGTGGTTAGGGCGCTCGACTTGCAGTCTATGGGTCGCGAGTTCGAATCCCCGTCTCACCAAACATGCTGGCCTTTTCAGCCGTGGGGGCATTATAATATGACGGTCAATCCCACTATTCGTTGGTAAAAGAGTAGCCCAAGAGTTGGCGGTGGGTGGTGATGACTAGCTGCCTTCCCTCTAGTCTTACACTGCTATATTAGGGATGGCTAGCGCATATAGCCCTCGTGTAGCTTTGCGTGAAATTCAAAAACAAACAAACAATAACTAAATCCCAGGTTGCACTATCCTTACTACTATTCCAGGCAGCCTGAATCAACAAGTGCAGCAGCTTTTAAAATTATTTAGAAAACAAATTTCTTCTTAAAACTCATCTATTTTTTTTTCATTTGTTAAAACATTTTGTAAAGATCATCTTGTGTACTTATTGAATAATATACTTTTTATTAACAAATAGATTTTGCTGCTAGGTATAAAATACTTTTTCATAGAATCATGTCTTTACAGTTAAAACCACTTTGAAACTGAAAAGGAAAAGCATTGGATTTTAGTATTAACAATTACAATTAAAAAATTTTAAGTTTTATAAAGACAGTTAGAGATCAATGTATATGTAACCTAGCTAGCTATAATATTATAGAAAGTTTTAATGCTACAAAAGTATTGAAACAAGAAAGTCAAAACCACAAAAACTGAGTTACTTAAATTGTAAAATCATTTATCCTTATTTTTATAAATCACTGTAATTATGTTGGTCTAAGCCTAAGTAGGGATAAAAAAAAAATTATTTTAAGTTTTTGTAGTTGTTACTGTCTTGTTTCAATACTTTTTGCAGCATTAAAGCTTTCTATTTTACTACAGCTAGCTAGGTTACATATATTTATATATATAGATCCCTACTTGTCTTTATAGGATTTAAATTTTTTTTATTCTACTTGTTTATTTCCTTTTTAGCTATATTTTTGTGTGCCAGTAATGTCATGTGTGGGGCATGAGTATACCAGATTTGATTTTATTACTCATCAGGATCTCTACCAACCTACCCTAAAATCTAATTATATATGTATGTATGCTAGTATCGTTTTCGGTACAAGAAAATAATCATTGGGACAGAAGAGTTCTGTGAAAGAATTAGAGTGATAAGGTTCATCACTTTTTCTGTACGCTTATGTGGAAAAGTCACTTACTCAGATAAATTCATTGAAATAGTGAAATTTTGATTTACTCTAACACATTTACAGTAATTTAGGTGGCTTAATAAGTACAATAAGCTTTAGTTTTGCTCAGCCAATACTATGAAATAGTCATTGTTAATATTCTGACATTTTAACTCTCTCAGACAATTTGACCGACCACATAACCTCTCTGTACTCGATTAAAGTCTATAGATTTAATACTTCTAAATTTCAATATAGTGTGTATATCTTCATAAAATTTGGCAGTCTTTTAGTTCATAATATATGTATTCCACATACAAAAAAATCATATTTTTTAGTGAATTATTTTTAATAAAATAAATATTTGTCCATTAACATATTGAGTATTTGTTTTGAATAGTCTGAGTGGAAAGTAATTTTCATGTTAAAATTAAAAATACTTTTCATCATCTCAAAATCTCAAATTTCCTTTCTGTAATCCCTAAAACCTCCTAAATGCATTTCAAACATTTTTTTTTCATTAAAACTTTATAGTTTATGTTATTTTCTCTACCTTATCTCAAAATGGGATCGTCGATTCAACCGACCTCGTAACCAACAAAAAAAAGGAATTAACCTAAATTATCCTTTTTTTTCTTTCTTGAATGACTTCAAATTGTAACTACATTCCTTCATCTTAAGTAGCTCTAAGTTTGTAACAATATACATCTATTTATAATTAAATTTTATTGTTTTATTTCTTAGAACCGTGTGTAACTACTCACTGTGCCATTATAAGTTGTAACTTGCTCGGGAATGTGCAGCTCACATTACGCTATCCATTTACATTACCCACGAGCTGCTCGCGTGAGTGCCTAGTGAACCATTTTAATTATATTATTATTATAACTTATTTTACCTAATCTAGTCTAAAATAACTTAAAAAGATCTGTATTTTTAGACTTTAGTTGCTTTTATAATAATAAATAAACATTAAATATGAAAAACAAGAAATAAAGCACTTACCCATTCTTCTTTTTTCTTGCTCTAGGGTTTACGACGAGAGTTAACTCTAATTTTATATACTATAGATAATAATTTACTTAATAATTTTTATTTAATTAAATAATGCACCAAAGAATATAGACTAATAATATGCAAAAAGTAGACAAATTCACTTACCTCTCAAAATTTTCCTTGCTTTCTAACTATTTGACAGGAGCCATTACAAATTCATCCAAGCTAGTTGTTAACTTTCCGATGGGAACAAATCTTGTACTGTGAGTGAAATTGACGATATTCTGTTCAGAATACAATGTTATACAATACGTCATTTGATGGATGAAAACCTTGACTTTCTATTGGTTATAGGTAATATATAATAAAATGTGAGAGAGCACTATCAACGAATTGTGAATGAGAGGATGTGATGGGTGTGGCATGAGGGGTCTGATTTTCTATTCGATAGCTCTGTAACAAAAATTGAAGGCTATAAAAATTATAGTTTGTTTGAGTAATGACTATTTTATAGTGAGTAATTTACGTTTAATTTCGTACTTTTTGGAGGGGTGGTGGATAAAATAGAGATGATGACATGCTGAGACAAAATGTGTCACGTGGGTCACACCAGTGGAAATTCAGGATTTTTTAATTATTGCCTTGTAGAATTAAGAACTTATATTTTATTAAAATATCGATTATTAGCTAAGATTTTATGCTATTCTAATTGGCATAACATAAGCATAAAGTAGTTTAATAAAATTGTGAATATAAGACACTAAAACCTTGTGTCAGGTGCAGTAGAGGGTATATGGGGTGATAGTGTTAAAGGTGGTTTTAAAAAGGCAATTTTTATGGCTGCCATTTCATCACAATCCCTGCTATTAAGTCAGACCTGCAATGGTTCTTATTCTGTTCTCATCACACATATCTTTGCAACTCTTCTTGTCATTAAACTTTTGTGTTCAATTCCTGTTCCTACAAAAAAATGGAATTGTGTATTATGTAGTTACGATTACTTTTTTTAATAGTTTGGTTCATTATTCAACAGTTTGAACATTATTAACTTCATAGAATGTTTTTTTGTTGTATTTGTAATATTGTCCATGGTCTAAGATCTAAATTTAGGTCAAGATTTATATAATTTTTATTTTAAATGCATGGATTTATTTGGAAGAAAATTTTGTGTAATGTAGAGATGTTCTTTGAGATTAGGGAGCCAAATGGCTTTTTACTTTAACTTATCTCGGACATTGAAATTGTTTGGAATGCTATGTTTTGGTCTGTATAACACATTTTGCCATTTCCCAGTTTACATTCTTATTTATTGAAATAGGCTGTTATTAATTTATTGATTATTATAAACTCATGTTTCACATGTTTATGAGCCAAGAACGGTCCAGTGATTACTGTACCAGACTGGATGGAAGTCTCCATGGAATGCACCCCCATTACCACTAAGAAACATAAACATTATGCTTTACACTTTGGGGCTGTGACTGCATTATAAGAGTGACTGTCACAACTCATTATTTGTTCTGACCAGAGTGATCAAAGAGTTGGCAATGGGTGATGTTGAGTCCCAACATTCAACAGTGGTGTATTTAATGTTGGTGCAGTCTGGGCAATGTCCTGACAAGCCCTCAAAGTAATGCAAAAAAAGTAATAAATTTACAATCAGTACAGATGAGCCCCCTAATAAAATTGCATCACGTAGTTTGAAGTGTTAAAAATGTCTCTAGCATTCCATCTTGTTTATCACTTCAAAAGTAAGGATAGTTAATACAGATAGCCCTCAAGCAATTTTGTATGATATTCAACAAATAAACAATTCACATGTTTATGAAAATTTATTTAAAAAACTAAGTTAATCATTTTGTTTCCACTAAATACATTATAGAAAATGGTAATTTATCTTAGTTTTCCTGTCAGGCTGTAATGTAATGTTGATTTACAATACATAGCAGATGTTGAAAATAAACTGGGCTTTACACTTCATAACTGAATAGATTATTTTTGGTTTGTATAATTTGTAATAAATATGAAGGTTGCATGTATTTCTAAAGTGAGTGGCAGTATTATATTAATGTTACCATTCGATACAAACCCAATCATTTGTTATGAAGTCATTTGTTTTACCTCTGGTAATTCTTAAATGTTAAAGGAATGGGATGTAATTATTCTGGTAAACAGTAATTATCTATTCTTTTTGCTAATTAACCACATGAAAAAAGTACCATCAAAAACAGTAACAAAAATTTATTTTTAATAGTATAAAACTATCTCAGCACTTTAACAGTAAGAAACTTTGGTGTAAATTTGACATTATTGGTATAAAACAACTTTATTAATAAAATATTTACTCTAGTTTAAGTTTTTCTCTACATTAAGCATAAAGTTAACACCGTTTTACACTAACAAAAGTAAATATGTTAAGTTTAAATTATGTTAGTGTTTGCATGTCTAAATTTTCAAATACTGAATATAATTGTACAGGTGTACAACTGTTTATTTCATTAACATTTAGAAAGGCTTATGATTTTAAGTTTCATACTGCTATTAACTTTTACTTTACTCAGCATTGGAGGGAATAAACAGTGCACACATTTTCACTTGATAGGCTTGTGAAATTTGAATACTCTAGAAAATGGCATACTGTGCAATCAATTTAAAAACAATAAAGTTTTCAGTGATAAAAAAATAAGTTATTTAATTGAAATGAAACATGCTTTAATATTACTACTTCATTCTGTGCATTTAATGAGACTGAAAATACCACATCTGTCATTCCAACTAAATGTGTATTTTTTTTAAATTACCAATTTATGAATTAAATATTGGATTCCACTGTATAGATCATGTATATTAAATGAGGAAACTATTTGCTAGAAAGTTTAAATAAATTCCTTTTTATTAAGTTTGTACTAATAGTTTTTAATAACTGGACAGGGCCGTAATTCTCCCTCCAAGCCATCTTCTCGAACACAGCGAGTATCTAAAACAATTGGCCTGAGAGGGGTAGACTCCAGATTAGCACAAGTGATTATGGATGAAGTGGTCGATGGAGGTCCATCTGTTACCTTTAATGATATTGGTAAGAAAATATAATAAGCAGAACTTCATTTTTCCACTCGTGTAGATATTAAGCTTGGTGGTTTATTTAAATGGTAATATGTGGACAGTTAATCTGATTATTTGTATACTTTGTAATGGTAATGTAATAGTTTGCTGTAAAAAAATAGAATGAATTTATAGTTATATATGCATAAAAACAAATTTTAAATTTTGTAAGAAAAATATTTTGGTAAAAATGTTTCAGGTTTTGTAATGCTTAAGGACAAATTACAATTTCAGATGTAAGGTAGTCTTGGTTGCAAAGCAGTCATTAGATGAGGTCAAACTTGTAAGAGTTGTTTGATTGGATGCCGATAAGTGTTTCAACTTTTAAGTTTGTTTTATCACCAGTGTTAGGATAATTCATTACCAAAGTAGCATTACTTTTGAGTAACAGAGTAATATAACATGTTACATTTAAAAAAGATATAATATTATTACTCTTATTGAAATATAATGCATTATTTGTCATTTTTTTTAATTTTCATGGTCTTTGATGCTACCATATTTTTTGTTTTTCTAATTACTAGATAACTAAAAAATATTTCATACTCAACATATTCTATTTTGGTTTACTGCTTTGTGTAAAATTGAAAACTTTGGAAACAATGGAATTATTTTGAGGTTTTAGTAGATGATGCTAGTGACATGATGTTATGCCATGGGAAAAAAAAGTTGTTTGGACAGTATAATATAAAGTTACATTTCTTAATAGACTAAATCATAATTTCTAAGTGTCAAGTAAAGGATATTTTGCTTATGATTGTGATAAGCATTAAAAGATCTTTGTATTGCTGTGTCAAATAATATGAAATAAAATAACAGTATTTTGACCTGATGTAAGTTCTAACAAAACGTAATATGATGAGTAAAATAACTTTTTTTTTTTTGAAAGTAATAGTAACACTAATATTATTTTTTTATTTTCAGTAATAAGTAGTGTATTACTAATGCTAACAATATTATACACCACTGTTTATCACACAGTTGTATACACCTTACAAATCATAATTCTCAGTCATTTTTATCTTTCAAAGAAGGAAATTCTTGACAGATTTTTATATATCATGGAAGATCTAGATGGTTGAATTTTTTTTTTTATTATTTTTTTTTTGTGGGGAGAGTTAATCACATTTCTTTATGGGTGATGTTTAAATTGGATGTTATCAGCTCAATGGTATTCATGTTGAATGCAGTGAAGGTAAATAAAAGCTAGTATTTATATGTTTTTTCAGTGTAAGTAAACCCAGATAACAAACAATATATTGAAATATAGGAGACGACTTAAAGATAGAAAAAAGTTAAAGATTTTTAAACTGATAACTTAAAATGATATGAAGACAGAGGTTCAGTATTTCAGTGGTTTCAGACCACTGGTCTGCATACTAGCACCAATCCACAGAAACATTTAAATTAAAAAAGAGAGAGATAAAATTATAATTTATATACGTTAGGAATAGACAAAAATGTTTCCTTTCTCCTTGATTGTAAAATAAGTGAGCCTCATAACCTTTCACTTCAAAGATTCTTGAAGAAGCTAAATTAGGAAACAACACTATTAATGTATTTGCTCCTAATGGTACATATGTTTTTTAAAAAGATTTTGCTGGTCTAATGAGTTAAAATGATTGGGGACAACTGCATTATATAATTTAGCCTTTAATGGTTTTTGTTGTGTGTCTTGCATATACAAACCAATTTAGGCTGTACATAACTTTTACCTTTTTTCTTAGAACTGTGTGTGTGAAGAATTATAGATAAGTATAATACACTACTTGTATATTTGTAGTTATTGGATAGCCTTATTCTCATTTATACAACAGATGTGTAGTAAAATCTGGTTTAAAATAATTTTTATTGCCCTGTCGTCCCTCATTCATAACATCGAAACAAATTGATACAAAAATTATATTACTGATAGAATTGTATTTTACTTTTGGAATGTAGGCATTTTAAAAATGTGGTAGAACATGTGCTTCATTTTACTTCCAAGTTCTGATTTTCTTTACTCCACACAGTTTTACCAGTTAGAATCCACAAACTATCAAATTATAACAAGGAAACAAATTCATAACTGAGAAAGTTACTTTTATTCGCATTTAAACAAAAAATATAAAGTAAAATCAGATGTATATTGCTGCCTCCTTCTCTCAAACAAGCTAAATTTATTTGCAATGGTAACTGTTTATGACTGAAAGGTTGTGAATAAATAAATTTTTTCCTTCAGAGGTGAGGGCACTGTAAATCTCAGTTTAATTAATTTTGTTTTTGTTAACATATACAAGCTTTCTCAGAAGAGGTTTAAGAGACTTAGTGACTTTTAGTAGGTTTTTAGTCAGAAAAAAATCATTTACTTGTTTAATTGTTTCCTGTTATCTGCTAATTCATTTTTTGTTTTTCACCCTTAAGTTACTGACTTGTTTTTACACTATTAACTACTGGTGGGTCCTGGGTCCACATGTTGCATCATAATGTGGTATTATATGTGATTGCTTACCAGTGTAAAAAAACTTATTCAAATGTATGAAACCAATAATTTTTTTGTAAAGATCAGAAAAAACCTTTATCCAGCTGGGCAGTTAGTTGAATTACTAATAGACTATTCTCACATGGGATTAATCTTCCTATTCTCATTTTTGTTTCAAACTTCATTTTTTTTAATATGATGAACATCTTGTACATGAAAATATACCATATATATAATGTACTACAAAACTTGTAACAAGCTTAAAATACATTGAATACTGTTCCATGGATTTCTCCCTACAAATTATCACAAAACAACACTATTCAAATTAAATAAACTACTTCTGCTTTAAAAATAATCATTCTTAGATTGCATGTGATAAAGCAAATAGATTCATATCACTGTGTTCAACTTGGGGCATGATGATGGGTAAAACAAAATGCACGGTCTAAATAACTAATGAATGAATATTTGCTGTAAAATTCTTATCAGTGCTATAAGTGTAGCTACCAGTTTGGCCAGCAATTTTGATTTCATTCCTATGAGTTACACGCTCAATCCTTTTTGGGTCGTACCTTTTTTTCACACTTAAGGTGTTTTTGATTAGATATCATGACTTTTTGTCAGTACACACCAACAAACCACAGCAAGTGAGAAAGTGACACTCAGTAGTAATCCACATTAGCTTTAGGATCACAACCCTACTATTCGGAATGGACCTTTACTTTACAGATCCAACCAAGTTCTTTTAAATATATGATGGTAGTTTTTCCTCTCTGAAACTATGTTAATAGCATCCTTTATAGTTACGACATGGAATTTAGAATAACAGTTTCTTGTCCTCACCCCCATGTAATTGGTACAGCCATATGAAACATCATTATTTATGCTAAATGCTTAAGCTAATATGTGATGCTAAATGCTTTTTAATTAGGATAATTTCATAAAATGTAGTGAACTTATACTGAAAAGTTGATAATGAATAATCATTAATGACTGTCCTCCCTTATGGTTCTTTTAAAAACTTGGATTAGAAACTGCTTGTCCTTCCACCCTATAGTTTTGCCGATCTAAATCAGCCATCATTAATCTAAATGACAGAAAACTAAAATTAGTCCACTTTTACTCTTAGATGAAGTGGGATAAAAATGTTACACTGATAGCTCACGTGACTTTTTTTGCATAGGCATGCACAAATTTGTTTGTCTATTTTGAGCAGTTTTTGGTTGAATAACTTTCCACATGTGACTTGTATTTACACCAAATGAGACTCCTAATTGTAGGTTGAAAAGATCTATCAGTCTACTAAAATTGAAAAAAATCCACAAAAGTTAAGTGTGTTTTTTATCAAGTAAAGTTTCTGTACTTTTGGTGCAAAGAAAAAAACAAATGGGAAAAAACTCAATCAAAATTAGAGTTGTTCTAACTTGGGTATTTCTTAATGGATTGCCTTGAAATTTGGTATGTGAAGTAAGAGTCTAGTAGAGTACATCCACTGAAAATGCATGACTGTTTGGATTAACACAGTCCAAGATACAGAAGGTGGAAATTGCTAAACTATCACTTCTGTTAATAACACAGAGTGTATCCTGCAGCAGATTGTTTTGGCCTCATGACACAGTACCTTGTGTCTTCATATGTTTTCAAGCCCTTTGAGTATTGTATTTTTGTTGTCTCTGTATCTTTTTCTTAAATGAGTAAGTAACATATTTTAGTATTTTTTTGGTTATATAGTTATTGTAAGAGAGATTTGTTTTCAGATGTTTTATGTATAGTCTGTTGTTCATTCTAGGACCTTAATTACTTGAGTTAATATAAAAAGTAGCACAAATGGCTATTTTTTTATTATTATTATTTATAATGTAATTTATTTAATATCGTTAATCTTGCACTATTAAAATAAAAATGAAGTTTTTATTTTTTGAAAATATTGGGAAATAACATAATGATGAATGCTTCACAAGATCCTGATTAACAATGAAATTTTTTGTAACAGCTGGACAGGAAGTAGCAAAGCAGGCCCTCCGCGAGATGGTAATTCTCCCGACATTAAGGCCAGAGGTAAGCACATGTCTCATAGTGATGACTAAAGATGGCAGATATTTATAAAATATTAAAATTTTGATTGTCAAACTTAATCTTAGCTGAATAACTGTGTGAATGACTAAAATGTTTGAGCAGTTTTCACTGTGATCACTGGTGTCAGTTAAACCGAATTTAATAGTTTATTGAAAGTTTCTAATTAACCCCAATTTTGTCTTCTAATATTTGACATCAGGAAAAATGTAGAAACTGTTACTAGGTAGAAATTAATTTCAACAACAACTACAGCATGGCAGTTTATTTCATTTGTTGAATTATTTTGAATACACATTTTTGTAGGAACTTTTGTTGTTTTAACAGAAATTATGTATGTAGCATCCTGATTTAGTTTTACTTGTTCAAATTTTTTAACTTGCATTGTTTTTGCATATTCTAATTTTTGTTTAGTTGAGTTAAAACATGCCATATATAAATAAATTGAGGTTTGTATTGATAAGGCATAGATATATAAAACGTTGTTTTTAATTAATTATTTATTATAATTTTAGCAACCTTCTTAATCTTTTAAACCATGCATTTGGTTTTTGCTTCGTCATCTAAGTTATTGAAAATAAAATAAAGCACCTTGGCAATTCAAAGTTCTACTTTCAGATAAAAATTCTTTTGGAATTGTTAGCTGTGCATGCAGCAAAGCTAGAATCATCTACTAAATACGTTCATTTGGATCTTGAAACATTTGCCTGATACATTTCATGAGTAATGAACTCCATGGTCGATAGAACTGTCCCATTTACAACTGCATGCCTTTTTTCTTATGTCCAGTATGTTTGAGAAGTCCTTTCCAGGAAGTGGGATAGCCAGTGCACAGTTCTTACTTCTTCAAATGTTTTTCTCAATAATTAATTTTTTGTCCCTGTGAAATTATTTTACATGAATGCCTTAACTCTGAGTGCATAATTAAATTCTGGATGGGTTCTCATAAAGTGTCAATTATCCACAAACAAACAAAATTTATAATTTGATTTTTTTTTTAACACTTTTTCAATATCAAAATCCATTAGTTGCACTTTTGCTCGGTGATGTACACGTGTGGTACTAAGGCAGGAAATTCAAGGATGTGTGAGTATCCTGATTGTTGCTCTTTGAGGAAAAGTTTTTGTGACACTGTGGAGTAAATCTGCTTGTCATACCAACTGGCTATAAATGTCAAGTCGAATAAATCCGATTATAGCATCCAAAGGATTAATTCTCAAGGTATTACCTTTAAAATGTTACTATTGTGTTTGTCTGGCTGGATTCTGAAACATTTGGCTTTCTCAGTCTCAGTTCTTTATTTTAATTTCATAGCCACTTTCCAGTTCCTCTGGCTATGTTTTTCAGTCTCACTTCTCATTATTTTAACTTCACAAGTGGTTTTCAGATCTTCTGGCATGAATACAGGAATGCAGTAGTCAACATTTTCATTTTCAATTGCCATCATTCTAAAGTCAGAGATGGTTTTCTACTTTACTGTTATTTAGCTAAATTCTGAAATTTAGTTTCCAGTTTTGTCATTCTCTCTGTCCTTTTCTTGATTTAATTGAAGTGCCAGTTGAGTCATGACAGATTATACTTTGATTCTTAATGGATATGACTTTTGGTGGTTTTCATAACTAGAGCAGCCAAAAATACACAAAGTATTGCCAAAGGTGAGATGTAAACAACTTCACACACCTTGTAGCTTTTTTGACTTATCTGCTTGCTGTTGACAAAGTATATTATTGATTACCAAATTAATTGTCAGAGGTATTGCAAGTTAAACATATTTATAAGTGAGTGTGTAAAACAGTGATTATTTTTGTTTTGAGAAAACTTCTACTTTTCCACTGAATTGAAGGAATTATAAAATAGTATTTAGCAAATACAACCTTGCGTGGTATAACAGATAGGTTCTCAGTGTCTTTTGCAGTATGCACTTTTACTTCTCGTAGGATATGTCTCTGAGAAGTTGAGACTTTGGTTTGAAACCTGTTGTTTTGACCCACCTAGCTATTATGTGGTAGTAAATAAAAGCCAGTTGTGATATAAAGAGAAATGAGTTTCAAGTTAATGAAAACAATAAATAGGATGATGCTTCAAAAATTTATTTGATAATTTTCATGCTTGAACAAGAATTTACTAATTTTTACATGTGATTTCTATTTAATAGAATAACAAATTCATGCTTTGATAAGACAAGCAAAAATAAAATAAATAAAAAATAAAATAATTTTCTGTTGACAATTACTGCATTGAGAATACCCATTCTCTTTAGTTATTCACAAAGAACACAGCCACAAAAATAAGGTGTGTGGAACCAATAATCAAATAAGGTGTTTTACCCACAACATCCTGAATCTTATTAGTTTGATGTTGGGCTGACAAAAATATCATTGGAAATAAGAATATAAAAAAAATGCAAAAAGGGGGAATGAATAAATCTATTGTTGCTTATCACTTGATATATGAAGATCATAGTATTAATTGGACTAATCTAAAATTATTGCACAACCTAGTATCTTCAAAGAAATACAAATAAAAAATAAGATAATAAGTTTAGTTGAAGGACCAGAATTAAATCTATTGTCTGTGAAGTGATTTTTGTTCATTGGTGTAATATTTAGTATTTATGATGTAGATGATGATGATGATGTGCTTTTTTGTGTATAAAACTGCTTTATATATGTGTAATTGATCTTTCTAATGATGACAAATCAGATTTGTCAAAGCATGTTAGGTTAATAAATTTTAATGTTTTTAATTCATGTGGTATAACATTGTTCCTTTTTTCTTGTCTCGTATATCTTTACATTTATAAAAAATATTAATATATTTTAATTCAGTATTTTATTGGGTGTATCTTAATATGTGTACATCATCAACAACCATTCTTGTCACATGTAGTACATTATATGCAATTTGTAAGTTTAGTTTCAGAAAGTATTTATAATGGTTTTAGTCATTTAAAGTATGAGAATGCTTGCCACTGGAGGTTCTTCCTTTATTTTTGATTGCCATAGGGAAAGAAGACATTTGTTTTTTAAGATGAGGGGGTACATTACTTTGCAATTTTCCAATATGAATTGAGACTTAACAATAATAAGTCATTTGTGGAGCAGGAGAAAACTACATGTCCTGAAAACAGTATCTGCAAATTGAACAATTATTTCATAAGCACTGCATGAAAAAAAAAATTAAGCTTCTAGGCATGATTCATATTTGAGATCTGTGAATTATTTGTTATATTTGTACCTTGACCCCCACTCTTATTTTCATAGCTAGCCATTAAATGCATCTTGTGTAGTTAGAGTAATATATGCAAACATTAGTAACATTGAAATAATTTGTTTGATTGGAGATTATCGTATGTTGTATTGCTTTGTTTCAGAATAAATCACATTGATGTGAGTTTCTAAAGAACAAGTAAAGCCCAAATGTTTAGTTTTTGGAGTATTCTAGATAGTTCAGTTTCAGGACTGTATTTGAAGGTTGAAGTTTTAGGTTTGAGTTCCACTATTGTATACTTCCAGCTGTTTACTGGACTTCGTGCTCCTCCCAGAGGTCTTCTCTTGTTTGGCCCACCTGGAAATGGTAAAACTATGCTGGTAAGGAAAACCTTAAGCTCACTGTTTCTGAAAAAAGTAAAGTATGTCTATTCTGAACTAAATTTTAGTTTAAGAATATTGATCAGTTAACATTTACAATTTGCTGCCAGCATATGGTACTTGTACTGAATAAATCTTCATTGTTTAGTGATACAGACTGTATATATTAGTGTCAACATTGTATTACAGGATAGAATATTTTTTCACCTGATAAGTAACATTTAAGGAGCTAAATGTAAGTGTGACTGTAGATTAAGTGGTGGTAAGATTAAACAGTTTTTCAGTTAGATATGTATTTACAGTTAGATACTGTATTTACTCTTCCTATATTAGTTTCAAAAGACTACAAAATCTAGAAAAATTTGACTTTTTACACACACACTCAAGTACATGACTAGTATATCTTTATTGACAGGAATATGGATAGCTGAAAACTGAATTATCAGTTGTCATTTAGTCATAGTTGATCAAAGATAAGATCCTTTGTTATCATTTGATGCAGTATTACTAACTGTAACTATTGGTTGTCTGGTTATGACAAATTATAAATGAAAATTTTATATGTTTTGAGACTACAACTGATGGTATGACTAGATAGTTAACATAGTTGGCATGCAGGATTTGTAAAAAGGAGTTAATTTAAATGAGAGAATCATTGGGTTAGTTCTGTTTCCTTAGAAAATAGTGAATACATGCATTTTGCAGTTAAGGCTGCTGCTTTTAATGATATAGCAAGGCAGCTGAACAAGAGAGTGGCAGTAAGAAACTGCCAGGTTTATACTTCTCTAGGTGTGTGTATTCAAACTTTTCATGTAGATGTTCTTGCATTTAATCAGCATCCTTGTAAACAAGATGTAACTTATCAGCTATATCTTGCCTTAAATACTGTTCAGGCAGGCTACACTCTGTTAGTGTTCTTCTATAAGTTAATACTTGACTTCTTGGTTTCCTGTATTACTTCTGTTGGCTCGTGGGCCAAGCTAATTTTTAGAGGTAGGAGAGTAGTCTTCAATAGTCAATATGAGTAAGGGCAAGTTTCATCTGATTAAAAGCATGAAAAGTGCAATCATCCTAAAGTTTCCAAAAATGCAATTATCTATACAAACCCTGAAGAAGGTATATATATATATTTTTTTTTCATGACTACAACAGTGTATTACCCACGTCATTAACAATGCCATGTGTATTATATCACCCATGCTTTCTGGGGCATTTCTTACATTCTCTGCTGTTTCAAAGTGTTCCTAAGTATTTGTTTTCCAAAGAGCAACATGTGTATTTGTCTGTTTCTATAGTAATTCTGACAAGTTTATATTTGCAAGACACTTACCCACAAGTGAAAAAGCTGCTATACTTACATTTCAAACTCTGAGGTCATAAATAGGCTGGTTTCTGTCTGTTGTCATGAAAATGTTCCTAGTTCAGAATTGTACGAAAGCTTGTACATTCAGTAAAAAAAATAATGATTTTCTCATTTAATTGAAAACTTGAAGTCACACATAAGTTGTGTAATTTGTTAACTATGTTATTAAAGTGCTGGTGTTGATCCTTTTCAACCAGGGTAGGTTAGGTAACTGGAAATAAAATATTTTTCTTTGGCCTAAATAAAAGAATGTATTGAAAAAAACATTATTTTAAAGACAAATTGGTGTCTAAAATAATTAATGTACTGGCATTTTTTACACATTTTTCTCAAAATATCATTATGCCTCGAACGATCAGCCACTGTTAATTTCTTCAGAATAATGCACAAAAATATTTTCAGTGAAATCATAAAACCATTGAGAGTGGTTTTGTCCATGTACTATATTAAATCTTGTGAGCATGTATACGTGTGCAGATGGAAATTCATTCTGAGAAAACTTCAGAAGAATATTATTTCATTATGAAGGAAGGGCCTGTTTCCATGCTAGTGAAAGATGTTAAAAGATTGGAAATTATAACTATCATATTTTAACTGCTTCAAAGTTAAATCAAATATAAGTCATTTAAAAGTTGCACAGAAATGTTTTGATTTTTTCTAAATCTTACTGAAAAGTAGTACCACACTTCAAACAAATTATACATTAAAAAAATTGATAAAGATTTATCAGATTGTTTTGTAAAGAGAACCATATGATAGAACTGTTTTTATAAAAAAAATTAACCTAAATTAGTTACCGACATTAAATTTGTCTTTTTATAATAAGGCATAAGAGTGAAGATTTATATACATATTTCCAGAATTTTTGGTGAGGAGTTCTTCAATCATTTCAGTATGTATAAACTTGTGACCGTTGATGAAATTAGTGATAAACTACTTAGGAATAACTAAAAAAAAAAAAAAATAGAAGAGAAAACCTTACTCTGGCATCTTCAATACCACCATTTAAATAATGCATTTTTAATCTCCTTTGTAGTGCATTAAGCTCATTTTAATAATGATGAAATGAATATTTGAACTTTTTTTTATTGTTAACAAAATTTTAAATTGATGATGTATTGTTTATTTCAGGCCAAAGCTGTAGCTTATGAGTCCAGTTCTACCTTTCTCAACATCAGTGCAGCTACTTTGACCTCAAAATATGTAAGATTGGTGTTAAACAGTAGCTTATTAGCTAAAAATTAATCATATAGGATAAAGGTTAATTTGAATCACATAGTATTTTTCAGAAGTAAAAAAAAGGATCTAAAAATGAATGAAAATGTCTTAACTTTTTTAATCTGTCATTCTAATTTACTATCATGGGAGGGTTCAAGAAAAATTTGTTTGTGGGTACTTTCTAAATTTCCTGGACATTTGATGTAGTTTTTGTACAAATTTCTTATTAGTTTCAAATTTGTATGTCTAAAAAATTATTTTGTGTTTATTATAAACAAAATAAATAGCTAGCATCTGGTTTAACCAATGGTCAGTTAAGATGTAAGATTTAGTCAATTACTAGTTTTCTCATATTTTAGTTTTTTGACAATTATGTATAGACACACAAACAAACATTTTGAAACTTAAGTTTGGCTGTTTGTAACTGTGATCAGTTTAATTTTTCTACTGTGTATTTTAAATCAAATTTGTATAAATATAGCTCTCAAGATCTATAAATGTTTTATTTTAGTGCAATACTAGAGCTCAGCAGCTAAGTTTGCCCTATGGCAGTTATTTTTGCACATCTGTGATTTAGAATTGACAATAGACTATTTGAGAGAAACATAATAAAGTAATATATTGGTCATCATGAGCTTCACTACTTTGTCAGTTTAGGCACTTTCATACTAAGACATTAATGAACATAGAAATTACATGTGTGTGTGTGTGTATATATATATATTTTTTCTCCCTTATTTAGGAAAAAAATATTCAAGCAGTTTGTTCAATAAAATAATTCAGTTTTTCAAAATCAGTACTGACAGATAAACTCTTAAGCTTTTGTCAAGAACTTGTATTGCTTATCTTAATCCCTATTTTTTTCACTCAGTAATCAGAAGTTTCTTTATGAAAATTAGTTAAAAACTCAGGTTTTAGTTGTACTGCTAAGATGAGCTAAAAATAAGCACAGTGTAATAAAATTAATTTATTAAGCAGATCATTTATGTGATACCATTTCCAGCAAAGTTAGATATTGTTGTTTTGAAAAGATTTAAAAATATCTTTCCTGTTTTCAAATTTTTAGACTGATATTTAGAAGCATATAATTTGAGTAGCTGTATTGGCACAGAAGCATAGTATGCATTATTAAGCTAATGGCTGTAATTAATTAGAATGGTATTTTTCAAAACTTTCTTGAGAATCTTGTACAGGCAGATAGACAAATAATACAACATGCATAAAAAAATTATATGCAAAACATGAACTGGGTCATAGTTAAAAAACAAACTTTCTAGGTTTATGTGAGTAAAAGATAAATATTAATTTATGGGTATGTGTGAACAATTCAGAATGCTGTATTTCATTTTAAGAAGAAATTTTCATATATTTGTTTATTACATGTCGGGTGACTTACAGTATCTAATTTTTTTATTTTAACATTTGTAAAAAAAAATATTATAGTGTGACCAAGCAATCAAAATTTATATTTCACACTTTTGAAACTATTTACAAGGTACAAAAAAAATATTTGTACATTAAAGTATGGATAAAGAATTTGTATAAATGTGCCAGATTTTACTCTGTGTGACAAGGTATTTTCATTGCAACCAGATGCTCGTCCTTTCAGCCGTGGGGGCATTATAATGTGACGGTCAATCACATTATTCGTTGGTAAAAGAGTAGCCCAAGAGTTGGCAGTGGGTGGTGACGACTAGCTGCCTTTTCTCTAGTCTTACACTGCTAAATTAGGGACGGCTAGTGCAGATAGCCCTCATGTAGCTTTGTGCGAAATTCAAGACAAACAAAGTAACCAGATGTGCTTGTTTCAATAATTTTGATTTTATACTTAAAAGAGTATTTAGATTGATAAACAGGAAACATATTTACTTTACATAACTTTGCTGCTAAATACACATTTAAATGCAAATTAAAATTTCGTTTGGTTTCAGTAAATTTCCTTAAGTGTAAATAAAACTAATTTTATTTTATTTTTTATTTTTGATATATAAATAAACCACCATAAGTATGAACATTTGTTTTTTGCTAGTTTGAGAATACAAAAGTGTCACATCGTACCACTACATCATAGCCCAGTTTATGCTAATGACACTTTCATACAGCAAATACAAATCTATTATGCATAAAATATCTATATAGTAATTAGTTTTACTATAATTTGACTCTAATACAAAATGATTCACATTGATTTTTGTTAATAATAATAAAGTCATTGTACTTAAAATTATTGTAACAGGTGCTTTGTTCAAAAGTGACTTTCTGGTAATATATCTGAGATTACAGCTGGAAATATCACCAGAGGTTAGGATATCCAAATGAGGAAATGATAGATACTAAAAATTATAAGGAAAACGATAAGGATGGTATATTAGATTAATTACATTCATAACTGGATTTGAGTTTATTTTTAGCCGAAGCATAGCGGTTCATAGAATGGTTCTAAATTTTTCAAGTACAAACTTTTAGCTCATAGTTCTATCATCTGTTGACCAATTTGAGATCTAATTACAGTTTTGGACTCAGGAGGTCAAATCCTTTCAATTGAAGTATTTGACTACATGCAAGGTCTCGTACATTGATTTACTATAATCCTGCCTAAAAGGATTTCAATTTGAGGGTAGGCTGGTAGAGATCCTGATGAGTAATATAATTGAATCAGGTAGATTAATATACTGTTATCCTGCCTAAAAAAATTTCAAGTGCTATGGCCATTGAGGACTCCCTCCTCCTCCTCGTCTTCTTCTTCTTTTCTGTATTATCTCAACAATTGATTGTTCATACTGTTGACTGCATATAGGTTTAATTCATTATTAAGTAAGCATTATCTCTGTGTTAAAATTTTAACATTTGAACAGCTTTTTTGTTTTTGTTTTAAATTGAAAGTGATAAAAACAAATTTGCTCCAACAGATGAAGCCCTATATACTGCCTTAAATCTCATGTTAATTTTGAATATATCTATAAACAGTTTTACTTGGAACAACTTATTATTTTTCAGTTGTAACTGTTTTTGTTTTTTTACAGTATCGATATGGTAGCTATTCTTGTTGATTATTTTTTGGGAAAACTTTCTTCCTGGTATTTTTTGTTTATTTTTTAGGCCTACAGTGGATTTGAGATCTTTACAATTGCAAGTAGTTTCGATATACTCAAGAATATACAATTATTGTGCTTTCAAAAATAGAATATTCTGGGGAGTTAATCTGTGTCTTGTTACTTTGTTAATTAAGATAAACCATATAATTAGAGAAGAATTAAGTAATTAACCTAACTATTTCTTGGCTGATACCTCACAAAAAAGGCTAGTTATGTAAAACTACATTTCTTTTGTTTCATGAAAAAATGTTTTTAGTGAGACCTTTGAATGACTGTTAGACTCTTGGTTTCTTGTCATTGTCTTCTTACGTTCATCCCATATCCTCAACTCAGAACTCCAGCAGTCAAGATGAAATGCACAATCACTCAGAGTTTATTATTATTTCTATATAGCTTCTCTTACAAGGGAGTGTTGGCTGGCTATGGTGTTTTCTATAGAGGAGGGGCACTACCATCCATTGTTTTCTTGTGAAAAACTATTCAGATGAAACCCTTAACTCTCTCCATACAGACATTTCTGCATATGTTAAGAGTTTTTAATAATTTACATTCAAAATTTAATTATATTACTTTATTATCATGGTATATGAATAAGCTTAGCATCAAAACGTAATTAATAATCCAAATTTTAATACTATATAAATTAAGTTCTTAAATTTATAAGGCAATATTTAAAAATCCTCAATTTACACTAGTGTGATAATTGTGACATTTGCTCTCTAAGTCTTCCCTCTTCTCTAATTTATTTGCAATCCTTCCAAGAAGTACAGAATTTAACATACATTACTCATTATAATATTGTTATTACTTGGGCAAGACATAATTTTCATTGCCTTTAATCTTATTTTATTATAGAGCAACAAACTAGAAAACCAGACCCCTCTTGTTATGCCCATCTGTCATATCTTGTCTTTCACAAATTGCTAATAATTTTCTCTGATGTTTTATACAATATTATTTATAACCACTAGGAAGCCAAAGTTTTAATCTATCAAATAGAGAATTGTCTATTTCGTTTCCTGTTCAGACTTTATTCCCAGAAGAAACACATTGACGAGATTAGCTGAATTTTTAACAGATCTTATCACATAGTTAGAAAGCCAAAAAAATGTATGATAGTTGTGTGACATTGTCTGCTTTTTACATATGATCATTCTGTGTTCTTAGGTGCATTATTTAATTAAATAAATTATATAGTGCAGTATTACCATTAGTATAAAAAAGTAGGGTTAAGTTTAATTGACAGTCGACTGGAATAAAACTAAAAAAAACTCTGTAATCCACTTCCTAAAATTTCTCAAGTTATGTGATTACTAAATGAATTCTGATCCAGAAAACAGTGTCTCTGGGAGTATACATAATCTGTTGTATGAGAACTGTCACAGGAGTTTCAGGGATCTGGAAGAACCATATGCATAGTTCAATCTTGGAAACAACAATGAGTTGTACAGTTTTGAAAACAATAACATTTCATTATTTAATTTATGTTGTGTATACTGGTGTATAGAAAACATTTTAATACTATAAATAAATGAATTTATAACACCAATTTGGTGTTAAAAATCATTTAACTCTAGTATTAAAATAACAGTTCATGTCTGGATACCTCCACGGGAGTAGACAGTTCAAAGAACAACCACATGAGTAAGAATGATCTGGGAACATTAACTTGAACAGTTTATGTCTGGATACTACTGTAGGAGTAGACAGTGCTGGAAACAGTGACATAAGTAGGAAATATCTGGTGATGAGCTGTATGATAAAATGCAGACATTACTGATATTAAAAATAAATTTAAGATTCTAGTCTAACATAAAAGTTTTATTTATTATCAACATTATGAGCAAATCAACTTCATCAGAATTGTCTGCTTAGCATTAATGCTAAGTTAAGAACCTAGTTACCATTAATTTTTTTATTCAATCTAATAACATTATTGTAATGCAGTCAAGCCTAATGAAGTGTCAGCCTATAACTTTGCTAAATACATTTTGTGTTCAAGCCATAAATAATTAATAACTTCCAATCAAACACGCTACCTACATAGATCAGTACTAAACCTTAACAAATTAGTGAAAATAGGTAATGAAGTATATTATTTTTATGTTCTTACTTATTATTAAAATGCATTAATTGATCAATTGGGTACCTCATTGTTAGTGATTATTTCAGCTGTGAAGCTGTGATTACCCCCAAAAAAACTTGCAAACCTCAACCAGCAAAGGATATTTAGGTAGTCCTGAATTATTATATTAAGATTATAATGTAAATTAATCTTTATAATAAAAAATATAGTAATAAAAGTGGATAAATTCAGAATCCTAAACAATACTGTTAATGAAAGTAAAAGTAAAGAAACAATAGTATGGTTTACAGAAATTGTCAAAACTAGTGGTTTGCTTCATGCATTACAGTAGATTACAAGGCTTAATATACTCTCTCCAAACAACAACATGTGATCAATGAAAGCCTATTAAATGGTTCTGAGAGATTAAATTTAGAGCAGCTTGACATCTGACATAAATTGCAACACCTTGTTACTGTTTAGCTATAGTCTGGTAGCAAAATGTTACAGATAGTACACCAAAGAAGCTAATGTTTATGAAGTTAAAAAAATTGTAATAAATAGCCAAGTATTTGAATTTTACAATAAACAGTATAATAATATTGATATTCTAATTAAAATATAACAAAAAATCTGATGTTCAAAATATGGTTGGAGAAATCTCATTTGTGAAAATGAGAGCTTGAGTTCTATGGCATTACTTATTTGGAAATGCAAAGTTTGTAGCTTTCAAATTAAAGTGTCCATTTTTTGATAACTTTGAATATAAGTGTTTTATTAGTAATGATGACAATGAGTTTTGGTTTTACCGAAACAGCTTTTTACCAGAGTGAGTTCCATTGAATATATTTGTTTGACAGAGTCAAAAAGATCTTTAAAAGAATGTCATCCATACTGTGCCAACCTTTGTTAGTCTTTCTTGCAAAAAATTGTGTGAAAATTCAAGTTAAAATAAATACAGTATTTTTACCTTTACCTACTTCAACTCACAAATCTTTAGTTGTAGCTTTTTTAACATAAGAAGTAAACCATTATTTGTATGGTGCGTGTGTGTGTAATTTAAGAATTCAAAATAATGAGGATTTTAAAGAATGTTTTGTTAAACTATAATTTGTTTTTTAATGGTATTTCATATATCAGTTTTAATGTTTTTACACCTCTTTACCTACATATTTTAATGTCGTTAATTTAAATCCTGGTTATTTACAAAATACTGGAATTTAAAATATTTTACAAATGAAAACAAAGTTGTTGGCTGCTTTATTGGTGGGAGTGATAGTGAATCTACTGTGTAAAGAATCTAAACAACATTCATCAACTTTTTCCTTATTCATAATGTGATCATTTTGTTAGTATTTAATTTATTTTATGTATGCAATACATTTATGGATTGTCCTCAACTTGACCACTATTTATTGAAGCGAATATCCTTTTTTTCCATGTCTTACAGGATATTTTTAATACAAAAATTCTGATAGCATATTTTATATAATATTGCATGTTAAAATAATAGATATCAATTTTATAAAAAGATAACCATGCTTGTGATGTTTTATTTTTTTTTGTAAAGGTAGGGGAGGGAGAGAAGCTTGTTCGTGCCTTGTTTGCTGTAGCTCGAGATTTGCAACCAAGCATAATTTTCATTGGTAGGTTTTTCATTTTCAGAAGAGTTTTAGAGTATGAGGTCATTAACTTATTTTATTTTATGATTTTATTGAATTGAAAACCATTTATAATGTTTTTGCTTCAGTATCAAAACATAAAAAATAATAACTTATACAAGACATTTTAAAATAATTTTAAAAGGTCTTGGGTTATATATACAATTATAAGTGAAATATTTAAGTAAATTTTCAATTTTCACTTCTGTGTATCATGTGACACCCCTTTTTTTCAAATTGCCCTTTATAAATTTTCTTTCCCCTATATGTGATATTCTGAGTTTAACACAAATTACACACTTATAATATAGATATTGCTAAGCCATAATGTATTTTTATAGCCTCCAAGCTTCTAGCTTTATTGAGATATCAAGTCAAATGCACATGTCATGCATTTCCTAACATATCCTGTCTCTTAAAAAATGGCAGTAATTCTCTGACATTTGCTGTTGGAATATTTATAACCAATAGAAAGAGTAGATTCTACTTTCCTGAATTTATTACAAGGCTCATTTGCTCATATGACAGGTTTAGAAGTAGTTGGCCTCAGTTTCATTGTTTACCATTGTAATGTTTGGCTCAACCTGCTAAAAAAATGTTTTAAAACCCATTTATAGCTTAGGTTAAAAGCCATTTAAATGATTATAATATTTCCTTCCACTTCAGCACTGGTCCTGCCATCTATGATTGGTATCTAAACCTTTTTTCTGGTCTCTTTTCTTTATAAAACAACGTCTGGGCATGTTAAACCTCAGTTGTAAAACCTTTAGCCAATCCTAGACGAAGGTGTCAATTTCAGTACCATGTTATTCCAATCGCTGTATCTCACATTTGACAAATTATAGGATGATAAGGAAAGCACGTGACGAAACATTGTTCTCTGGATTTTCAACATGAATGTGGGTGGTGCTTATTATAGTAACTGCCATTTTATGTAGAGGTTGTATTTAGTACTGGCAAATAGTGCTTTTCTATAAGCGTTAGAAAACTTGCTTCTGGAAAAAACTGCATGGGATGTACGTGACTTTTATTATTTTTATATAGTAGCTTAAGTCATGCTGCATCGTATATCTATTTATATTAATCATTATATTGAAAAATTAACTGAAAATAGATATATTTTTTAGGAAAGAAGTTGATCCACGATTGTTAGGGTTAAGAGCTATCGAGTGGCGAGTGCAAAGTCTTTACATGAATTAGGCTTAGGACTTTGAACTGAAAGATTTTGCGATTTTTTATATTGTTTTGAATTTAAATTTGTAGTTTTAAGTTCAATAATTTAGTGTAATTTTATATTTAGTTCATAATAATAATAATATGATTGAGTATTTAGAATGATAAACTTGTGTGATTTGTACATAATACTACTAGCACCAGTACCACATAAGAATTTTATATTTTTCCTTCTTACAATCTTTACTTTGTAGTAAGACCCACACTTCTGTTGTTATTGCTTCAGAATTAAAACAGTCTAACTGATATATATATAGTTTATTCTGATATTTTGCAAATGGTTTAAAACTCAGTGTACAAGTGACAACAATAAAACCCATATGTTGGTTATGAAACAGGCTAAATACATTCATCTCAATAATGCAGGGAAGCTATGACATTCTCACAGTTGGGGTCTCAATACATTGAAGAGCTAAAGTTTTGAATTCCAACATAAATCTTGCCTATAATGAGAGGAATGTGAACATGACTAATCTTTTAAGTGCTGTAAAGTAATTTTCTTTGGAATTAATGGTGTCTGTATCGTTTGGTATCAAATAACAAGGGGTCAGGCTCAGGCGGTGTTTATTGAAACCACCTGTACTATAAACTGTTACATACATTTGCTAGTAGTGGCAATTAATTTTGTCTCTATAGTGAAACAACATACACGGACATATGTTGAAATAAACTTGTTTGAAAGTTCAAAGAAATGTTATTCAAGTACC